AATAAGCTATCGTATCCGGTCCTTCTTGAACCGTTATAATACCGTATAAAACGTGAAGGGTTAAAATTCTTTAAGAGCTTCAAATTTAAAATCTTCTACGGATAAAACCTTTAAGGACTTAAAATCTTTAAAGATTACAAAACTTTGAAGATTCAAAACTTGCAAGGATTTAGAACCTTCAAGAAACCTTTAAGGGTTTTAGGCATTTAAAGATTCAAACTTTTGAGAATTTAAGACCTTTACGAGTATAAAACCTTTAAGAATATATAGCCTTTAAGAATATAAAATCTTTTAGAGTGTAAGATCTTCAAGGACTTAAAATTTTTAAGGATTTGAAAATTTGAAACCCACAAAAGCTTAAAACCTTCAAGAATTTAACAGCTTTAAGAGTGTAAAACCCTTAAGGTCTTGATATCTTTAAATGTTTATAAACTTTAAGGAAAATAATCTATTTTCAACACGAGATCTGGCAACTAAGGGAGAATTAAAAAGTAAGTACCCTACATACAGAATATAATTTATATTCGCAGAAGCAAAGCACTTTCTTGATCTTTTAAATATTCAATCTTTTCACAATTTTGTAATTAATCGTTTCGTTAGCATATCCGCTATAAGACTGGATTTACCTTAAAACAGACTTTAAAACAGTTCGGCGCTATCTATAAAGTCAAAAGAGGTAGTTGCTTTAAAACACCATAATTCTGGTGACAATACAAAAAGAGAAAGTGAGAGAGTTATAAATATTGAAAAAAAAAAAAAAATTTTTTAATTTTGAAAAAGAATATTTTCCTGTCATATTGGTAATAAATGATACAATCTACAAATTTATGAAAAAGCAGCGATTAAGATGGGTTGGACATGTGATAGGAATGCCGGACCGCTTAAGATTTATAAAAACGAAGTAGGAACCAGCAGAAGATGGAGGCGAACAAGAAAACGACGGAAAGACAGTGTGCAACAGGATTTAAAAGAAATTAAAAACCAAAAGCAAAAAACAGAGAAGAATGGAAGGATGTTATTTAACAGGCTTAGGTCCTACATGGACTGTATACTCTCGGATGATGATGATTGGAAATAAGTAACAATGTATATTTTTTTTAAACTAAACGTTAAAAATGAATCTAAAATTGCAATTCATTTTTTGTGAAACATTAGCTCGACATTGGTTTTTAACATATTTTATGTTTCTTTTTTATGTTATGTTCCACGGTTTATATTCTTGAAGACCCCACAATTTGGGAAATTAAAGAGCGTTCAGGAATGCAACCCGAAATCACTTCCTAGATTAACAAAACACATCGAGATCTTATATAATTTCTACTATAAATCAACGTAAAGATCTTGTTCCATCAAATATCTCTTGGCACTGATAGCTTTATAGGTCGCTAAATTAACTTTATCTAACCAATTATGTGTCCCGTATATATTTCGAATTTCAATATATATGGAAATTAGACAGAGAAAGTAAAACTGCATTAGACAAATTTTGATAAACTATACACTGACTGTCAAGAAATACAGTAAAGAGTAGTAAAATCGTAATGCCTTCTCTAAAAAAACTCAATTTGAGTAAAACGAGTGCAAATTATTTAATTAATTTGATACCAATTAATGAAGAAAGCCAAAAACACTACGCTATGCCTTTATGCTTCTATTTAAAATCAATATATTCGTTTAAAAAATTAAATTTTTTATATAAACTATTATTGATTTGATATACAATATAGAATATGTGAAAAAATGTATATTAGTGGAGAAAAATAATAAATAAATAATAAATAAATAATAAATAAATTAAAATAAATAAATAAATAAATAAATAATCTTTAAAGTAATAAATCAATAAAATCATTCTTAATCATAAAATTATTCTGTTTCATAAAATTCACGGGATTTACTTAGATTAATATGACTCACTTGAAACCAACAAGAGATGACTCTTGTCATATACAGAAGAATTGTACAATGGTTTAATGTAAAAAACTAGGTTGAACATTTGAAAGCTAATGTTAACAGTAATAGACCAACAGGATTATATAATATATAGGAACATATAACATATTCTTCTACACATTGTTATGTATTTTTATTTAACTACACACGGATTAGGTCCGTCAAAAATTACATATAGGAGCTTAAAGTTTTGCATAGTTAGAATATTTATGCTCTATCCAAATGAGAAGTCAAGGAGGGAGTCTCATAATTTTTATTACAATGAGATAGAAATAATTGTCTTAATAAGACGTTGACAAAAAATTGAAATGTGTCGGTTTCTAATAAATTGATATTATTAATTTGCAGTAATTAAAATTAATTAGATAAAAAGTGATAGATCACTTTCCTTTATAATATATAGGAAATATATAACCATTAAATTTACAATAAACTTTACAATCAATAAGAAAAATACTAATTACTAAATTTGAAAATTTAAATATTTATTTAATATATTTGATTAGTTATAAAAAATGTTTAGCTGATCGTCGCAGATGAGAGAAGTGAAAGGTTAAACTAGTAAAAATTCCAAGAACTAGAATTTGTATTGAGATTAAAATTGTAATTAAGTTAAAATTTAGCTTTTTTGTAAAAATATATTAATTTTTACACAATCAAAGAAAAGATTTTATTATTAGTTTAGCTCCAATAATTATCAATGTACCAATCAGCTGCTTTAACTAAAGCGTAACCTGCTCATTCCTATAGTATCAGTGCTGATGAGTCACTGCTTACTAGAAAGATATGTTATGACTAAGTCAATCGTCTAATGACTTTTGTCGAAGTTGTGGCTTTGCGAATGAGGAAGAAACTGTACTCTACCTCATGTGTCAGTGTTCAGATTTAAAATCTTTGGGGCCACTTTTCTTGGTAACCTGCCGGAGCTGACATCTTGCAAAATTAGGGACTCGGCTATGTTGATAGAATTGTCAGATTGGTTCACTTTCACTTGAATGGGGGAGTCCTCCCTTTCGTACGCTGACCTCTACTCTATGTATGAACAACGTTTGTCCGGGACATTATAACGGGCCATTATTTAAGCTTATGTAGGCTTTGCGCACAAGGCCGCAACTCCTAGGTTGAAGCACCTTATAACTTGATTATGAAGTGATCTTTACCATAAAGAAACAACACATTTCACATACTATGTCAAATATAAAAATTGTCAGATGCGAACATTATATAGTGTGATAGCATTAAATAAAATGACTTTTCTTTTGACAATTATAAAAAAACTTTTTTTCAGAAGAATATTATATAGACGAACTATTGGTTTAACGGAAACTTTTTTAAAACAAAAAAAAATTTTTTAAGTGTATTATTGAACTATAGCCCGTTTTAAAAACAAAATATTATTAAAAAATGTTGGTCCTTTAAAAAAATAATAAAAAATTTAAATTAAAAAAATAAATAATAATTTTTTCAAAAACTTTCGTTACCTTAACTGCTGATAACTACTGATCGCTAAAGAGTAAGAGGTCCCGGAGGTTAAGAGCTTATAGGTTGCATATACTACACATGACATAAATGAAAGAAGTACGCAATTTATTAGAATAATTATGCATTTCAGTAGCACTTTAAGCCAAAGGACAGTTGTCATTTTTTTTCTTTTAGAGATATACTGAAAACTTTGGTTTTTGTTCCCAAAAGGTGGCAACTTAATTTACTCGCCCAATGAAAAAACATCACCTTGCAAAGAGCACAGTGCAATGCAGTTGGAATTCATATGTTAATTTTGACCTGATTAACAGATAGAAGCTGCACCCATTCTTTAACATATGCATATGTTTTCCCATTTTATTTATGAATTTTAATGGTCGGAACTTAAAGAATTTTAGCTTTTTACTAACTTAAATATTTGCGCAGCAATAAGGACGTGAAAATATTCGCATGTGTGGCAGACCTTCAAGCGAACCGTCACGCGATTTCAATTTTTTTCTTTGCCGCAAAAAACCTTAACAAGTTTTGGCTTATAAATTTAATTAAGCAGCATTTAATTATATGGGGAAATCATTATTTCAAAAAACAAAAAAAAATAGAGGAAAACAAAACAAAAATAATAAAGACATTTAAAAATAAAATCGCATAAAACATTTTCCAACACTGGTCCACTGCAGTTAGCGGTAAATTTGGTAAAGAAATTCAAGACGAGGGTGACCGTGTTAAACATAACGAGCACAACTGAAAACAGCCGCTTTCGTTTACAATTTACGCGCTGCGGGTGCGCTTACCCCTACAAACACCCCCTCCATACAGCTGCTCGACTTCGTACATCAACAGCATTATTTTATGCCGTTGAACACGGACGCAAACCAAATGAAAGCAAAAAGTGGAAGAAAGCAAAGGGGAAGAAGCGTCTACGCATCCACAAACGCTACATCACCACGATAAGGTCTGTGCAGCATTTATTGTAGTTGTTGTTGCTGTTGTTGTTGCTGTTATTATGTTCATGATTTTACGGTGTTGGCAAAGAAGTTGGCAATGGCAGGCAGCGGTGATGTTTCTTTCCACTTCCGTGTTTTTGAAAATTCAATTTAGGTATTTTGTTTACAGGATTAAAAATCGATTTTCTTTCACTTTGTTTTTCCGCTTGAGCGAAGTGAAGTGTACTGAACACATATTTAACATTTATAAATAAAGGTGGAACGGGTGCATAATTCGTGCACATGTCAGACGGAAAAGGATCTGCAGCGCCAACACAACACACCACACCACACCATATCATACCACACCAGCGGTCAACATTTCAAAAGAAATATTATTCTTGCCTACTTTTGCTAAAATTAAAGACACTTCACGCACATTAAATATGTTTGCTCAGCTCATATCGTATGCCATGCCTGATGCCTGATGCCTAAATTTAAAACTTCACTACTTCAACCAACCAACCAACCGTCACTACCCACCCACATCCCCTGCTCTGCACAGAAATACGTTTTTCGTACCACAAATAGTGCAGGTTTTACTATGGGCGCTCGTCCTCTCGCCATTCCTCCATTCCTTACCTTATATTTCTCCTTTTGCCAAATTCCTTTAATAAACGCTTGCTTGCTTCTTTTTTGAAAAAGTTGGCGAAGTATTTTTCGTGTGTACGTTTTCGGTTGCAATTCAGTCTTTCAAAAATTATATTTTTAGATTTTATGCAATTATGTTTGTTTTTAGCACATAGAAAATAGAAAAACAAAAAGCACTCTTTAATTTTCACTTTAATTTCTTCACATTCGATTCGAGTTGAAACTTGAAGATTTTCATTTATTTTAGGCTTTTTCTTGTATATACAAAACACTACACACACAAACTATCCGAGCAAGCGGTGTTGATGGAGCAACACACAATTATTGAATGGGGGACTCTTTCACGAGCAGCGATTACTTTTGGCTGTTAATGCGGAAAGTGAGCGTAGAGAGCGCTGACAGCAACTTTTTTGCTGATGATTGTTGTTTGTGAAGTTCCTTCGTACAATTGCCTTTTTACAAAGTAACAGCATTTGTAAAGATTGTATAAACAAATAATATTGAGGGTGTTATTTTTCACAGTATGCACCTGTTTTATTTGATTACTTCAATAATTCTATTTTATTTGCATTTTTACGTGATACACAAAAACTTCCGTATACGTTTCGGCAATTTTTTTGTTTTGTTGAATGACAGCTGCAACGCAACTCAATATTTATCTCTTCTTGAGAGAGAACAAGTTTGTGTATGGTTGGATGTGTTCAACGAAAATTACCACTATAGGTACATTCAGTGCAAGAAACTCAAATAACTGCGTTTATAATAAGGCAGTAAAACTAAGACAATGTGTGAGTTCAAGTAAATTGATGGTAAATTGAGAGAAATATTAAATTATGTCCGTATGGCAGCGAATGTTGGTATTTACCAGAATTTCGACTAGGGTAAATTAGATAAAAATTAGGTAAATCAGAATTTCGACTAGGGTAAATTAGATAAAAATTAGGTAAATCAGATATTACCATTGTGATAATTTTATAAAATGTTTAATATATAAATAAATTTGAAAACTTGTAACCAAAAATAATAAATAAATGCAATAAATAAATATTTACATAAGTGTAATGCAAAAAATCCCTAGGAAATTTCAATTTACTTTACCTCAATTTACTCAAACTCGCACACGGCCTAAAACTAAATATTTTATACCAATACTATGTTTAGAAAGCCAAATATTCTTAATTTCGTTTAATCAAATTAGATTAACTTGAAAAGTGTTCGTACTGCCCCAAATTAAAGAAATCAAATCTTTTTTGTTGAAAATTACATGATCCATACCATTTGTATCTGGGAAATCTTAATAGTTGATTATTATAACTATAAAAGGATGGCATTCAATAATTTTGTTAGCGTAGATTTCAAGTATGTGGATTATTATTTTTCACTGTATTTTAAATTAATAACAGTTACAGTTTTTTCTATTTATTCAAATTTATAAATTAACACTACTTTCAAAATTTACACTACTATCAAAATTTGCAGTGTTTTCAAAATTTATTTTTTTAATGAAATCAAAATTTTTTGCTGAAACGAAAAGGAAATTAAGATTTTTGCGAAATTAAAGTGTTTTATATGCACTTTAGTATAAATATTTAATAAAATCTTTGTTTAAATGATTTAAATATACAAATGATGAATTTATTATGATTTATTATATCAATTATATGTTTAATTTTTAAAATTCAAAAAGTCAGTGGCAAAAAAATTCGTACCAGTATATAACAAAGTTTTTTCTTTTCAAAAACAACTTTTATTGTATGTTGTAATCAATTTCATAAACATTATAAATTAATTTGTTAGCATTAACTGCATATTTCATGCTAAAATTATTAATTTCTACCATCAATACAACACTAAGGACGTGTGGGAGTTAGACTAAGGTCGTGTGCGAGTTAGGCTAAGTTGCGTTCTAAATGAGGGAAATTTTAAGTTGTGCCGATAATGTAGTGATGTGTCGATACGTGTTGATAAATGGCTAAATGAGTGCAGTGCAAAAAATCCCAAAAAATCTCCCATTTGGTTTAGCATCAACTTAGCCTAACTCGCACACGACCTTAATATCAGTTGCTTATAATTAATAGGTCTGTTCCACGAGCTACTCATAGTAACTTTGAGTAAACACTGTGTATACACAAGCGCGTTCCATCAGCAAATTTTCAAGTATTTTTGTGTAAATTTTACTTCTGTTTTACTCATGTTTTACTATGAGTAGCTCGTGGAACAGACCTAATATGTAAACCAATAACACCTCTCCTTAAACTTTTACAGAACTTTCTGACAATAAAACTATTTCACATGCATAAATTAAGTTATGCCAACGGAAAACACCAAATCTTAATTGAAATAACATAAATAGTTTTAGCTGCAGTGAAAACATGATATTACCATAAAAGACTTATGACCATAGATTAGAAATCTAACATTTTACAATGTGCATAAGATCAAAATATATAACATCTCTGTTTATTCGATATTTAAAACAGCTGTTTATAATTTTTTTTGTAACTTTTCAAAACAAATATCAAAAATGTTCGTTAATTTATTACAAAGGTATAAAATCTTTATTAATTTTTGTTTATATTTCAATAAATAATAATTTTAATTAAACTTATAGAGTAAGTGCGTCTGCAATTAGTACAGCGCAATTATTGTTCACCAGAGAAGCTCACGTTTTCAACCGTGCCGTGATTAAAGCGAAGGTTCGTACCCATTTCCCAAAACCACGTGAAGTTAAACGGATTAATGTTCACGGTTGGGAGCAACGCATGTCTACACCAGGAGGACGAAAAATAATAATGCGACGAATTTTGTTAGGAAAACATTGTCTTTCCCATTAGGTTTATTTAAAACGTGCAATTATATAAACAAATGTTTGAAGCATTTTTCATTAAAACTTATTTTTTTTAAATATATAAATAAAATTGTTTGTCTTTAAATGTAACTGAATTATTTAATACGTATGTAAGGATATTTACTTGATTGAAAGTTTTAGCAAATATTTTGTAAAAAGTGTTCAGCACAATTTAGAAAGTCAGCGCATGACCGGTCTTTACTGACATCAACTCAGCTCGTTTCAATATTTTACAAACCTAATAAATACGTTTTATTGTAAAAATAATTTTATTAAGATCTTAACTAATTTATTAGTATATACGTCCAACTATCGTCACGTTTCATAACTCTTCACATTGAAAATATTAGATGGAACCACTTTTTTGAAAAACACTTGTATTCTTGTTATATAAGACAACACAACGCAATGGCTAAAGTGTATTGTTTACAAAACTTATTAATATAGAAAATTCCAACTTAGGTGACTATATGTAAAGGTGACGGGTACATGTTATAAAATGATGTGTGTACTCCGAAAAATGAACTTAAAACGTGGTGACATAGTATTAAAAACTGCAATTGTATAGAACCTAACCCAGCACTGGGTTCTAATTGTATCATTTCTAACCATACACCGAATCTTAGTGATGTAGAAATATAATATCACTAAAATCAACAAAATAAATGGTGCTTTCCAGAAATGTTCCCTATCTCACAAATTCCCTACAATATAAGACCTAACTATAACAGAAGTATAGATAACTGCACAGGCTCAAGTAACAAAAGAGAATTATGTACAAGTTTCTTCGACTGGATCCTGATTAGTTTCAAATTATTCCCACCCCTCCCTCTTCCCTCATCCCAACACTTACTCCCACCTTTTCTATTCCTTATCTCATGTATTTGTCTTGTAATCCTTTCATGTTATCTGCTTTCAGGTCCGGCGGGTTACAACAACAACAACATGTACAAGTGTGATTGTTGTTTATTTTATTATTTTATATATAGTTTAATAATTCCCTAAAGATGGTTGTTGATGATAATCATAATATTAGAATGAAAAAAGTAAACTTTTAATGAATCAATTGATTTATTTGGCCATTTAGCTTATACTTAAATGAAGTACTGAAAAGATTTTATATAATAACAATAATAAGTACAATAAAGACTCTCCTAAAGAACATCACTCTTTGGAGGGCACTTTTTCTGAGTAAAAATTAATTTATTTACTTAAAACAAATTAAACGTTTATGGCAAAACACCTGAGGTTTTTTATTGTAATTTCCTAAAGTCAACACCCTACAAATCACCCAATAGAATAGACAAAAAATGACTGAATAGAGAAAAAACAATAAGAAACTCTTTCTCTGTGATATTGAAAGCACCTTGTGTGTTTAGGAAGATCTTACGTGTAATAATTTTTATTTATTTGTACAACGAATTTACAACAAACTATTGCGATTTCCTGTTAAAAATTCTGCCGAACGATGATAAATTTGCTTAACTGACTTAAAAGTCTTCGTGTCGACTGCACTGTACAGTAGTGGAGCAGCATGTTCTGAGTATTTACTTTGTTGCTTTAGAAGCGCCGTTGGTATTGGAACATCACTAAGCGCCATACAGTTGACATTTTCCATATTTTCATAAGGCAGAGCAGGCAATAAATATATTAGATTCAATGTATAATCGACACCGGTAACAATGCCTGCAAAACAAGAGAAATATTGGTATATGTGAAGACTTAAAGGGTTAACCAAATCTCAACCTACCTATACCGTAGCATTCTGGCGGTAAAACATCCTCAGCTCGACATAAATAAACTAGGTTTGTGTCGATTGACTTCAAAAGCGTTTGTGGATCAACACCGTTTACAAATGGTTTCAATATTTTAACATCTGCTAACTTGGCTCTGTAAGAGAAAAACATAACTTTAAGGTAAATACTTGCATTAATTTATAATTAACTTTAATTTATATTACTTTAGTGGTGGATTAGATGTTAAGCCTTCTCCACTTTCGGAAAGCACCACACTAAGTCTTGACAAAATCATTGCGTATCGCAAGTCCTTTGCACTCATATCCCAGGCTTTTTGATAACGACTATCCTGCGCAACTGCTGTATTTAATATATGCAAACTATACATTGGTATATAAGATTCATTCAAAATAAATTCAACTCCAATGTATGGTTTCCTTAATGCCCCAGCCATAATGTCGGGTTTCAATATTTCGTTAAAATTATTTATTTCTTTGTTGCTCTGAATCTGCACGACGTCAGTTGGCTTTAAGTATTGACATAGTAAGGCTAACAGTTCCAAACCACAGCCCTTGTTGTATCCCATTGTATTGATAACCCAAGGTAACTTGGAGTACTTTTCATTATTGTGGCAATACTCAATAAGTTGTTTTGCTGCGCTCAAATATCGATGACTACAAATTAAAATACTTGAGTGACCCACAAAGTATGCCTTCGCAGGCTGCTTGTTTTGAAAGAAGCCAGGTCCTAGCAATGGCTCATCGATCACAAAGCATGATACCGTTTGCGGCAAAAACATTTCCGATTGTCCAATGTCTAAATCAATTAGTAGTATGCGCTTATGTGTATTTAAATGATTATTTATCATGTAACGTACTAAAGTTGATTTCCCAACAGATTTTCCGCCAACGATCATAATTTTTGTTTCGGCTTTTAAAGGCAATGTGCTCCACTCTGGCTGTATCTTGAAAGCTTTTTCGTTATTTTTATTAATGATGCACTCTAGCAAAGTATTGCTTTCGCAGGTGCTTCCTTGAATATAAATTTGCTTATACTTGGGAAAAACATTCTCCTTCATGCAATCCTTAAAAATCTGCACAACTTTTTTGCTTCCCTCATTACATTTGAGAAGCACAATAGCATCCTTCTTTTGGATAAATTCCTCTTCTATAGTCTTTAAATCTCTGGAAATAAAAGTGCCTTTGAGTTTATTCAGTTCCAAAACAACGTCTACATTTTTTACTGTAGTTGGTATTATCTCTACAGTACTACAGCCGCGAGGAGAAAAAATCGGAAATTCTTTGCCGTTTTGAGGAGTATGTCCATAGACGCTTACTGAACCAATTACTGACGTCAATATCACTGTTCCATAAATGCTTATTGGCTCTTTTAAGTGAACCAAAACCTGATTAGTTATAAAGGAGTGATAAAAAACTGAATTTAAATGCTGCGGCTCTACAATTGAATCTTCAGCATATGCTGTGGAATCCAAATGATTGTTACTGGCAAATACATCGATTGAAATATGTTTTGTATCAGTATTAAGGTCTAAGTTTACTAGTTCTTTGCTGTCAGTACCAGTAATACAACTTGTTACAGATTTAAGACGATCCACTGTTACATTTGTGCTGTCGTTACCTTGACAATCAGTTGTATCAGAATTTTGCTCCAAATCTATTGAATCCATGTTCACTAGTTTACTACTGTCCTGGCTAGCAGTACAATTTGTTCTAACTTCAAGGCAAACGTCTGTTACATCTATGCTATCGTTACTTTCAGCATCAGCTCCGTCAGAATTTTCCTCCAAATCTTCTGAATCCATATTTACTAGTTCTCTGCTGTCATTACCAATAGTACAACTTGTTACAGATTTAAGACGATCCACTGTTACATTTGTGTTATCGTTACTTTGCGAATCAGTTGTATCAGAATTTTGCTCCAAATCTATTGAGTCCATGTTCACTAGTTTACTACTGTCCTGACTAGTAGTAGAATTTGTTCTAACTTCAAGACAATCGTCTGTTACATCTGTGCTATCGTTACTTTCAGCATCAGTTGCGTCAGAATTTTCCTCCAAATCTTCTGAATCCATATTTACTAGTTCTCTGCTGACATTACCAATAGTACAAGTTGTTCCAGCTTCAAGGCGATCCTCTGTTATATCTCTGCTATCGTTACTTTCAGCATCAGCTGCATCAGAATTTTGCTCCGAATCTACTGAAACCATGTCGTTATCTATCGATGAACTTGTGTCAGAGTTCGGTTCAACTGTTTCCGCTACTTCTTTCCTTGTTGTATTAACTAAACGTGAATTTCGTGCTGACAAATTTTTAGAATTATTCGCTTTTACTGATATCTTAACGGAAGATTTTGCATTTTCGTTAAACGATTTGTTTTCATAAAGCGATACAATGTCAGGAGTTCCTTGCAGTTCATTTTCGCTGTCCGTTGTTTCATCGCGTAACTCAAGTTCTGATACTATAGGAATAAACACTATTTTGCAATTTTCTACTTCTCTTCTACTGATATTGTTTGAAAATGAATGTTTAATCTCCACAACATCTTCGCTTTCAGAGTCATTATTGCAAGGAAAATTGATAATATTGCAGTTTGATCCATCTATGATGTCAACATTTACTTTCCCAGGTTTATTTCTTGTTATAGTCGGTTTTACATACTTTGTTAAGATATCAATTGAAGACATGGAATCATCGGAACAATCATCTTCCTGCTCTACTGATTCACATGAAATACCTGATCCATCATCAGTCTCTATTTCATACATATCTTCGAATTCGCAGTCCTCATCATAAATTTCATCCTCCTCAAAGCATTCTTCACCATCTGAGTCTTGCTTATATGTATCTTCATCTTCTGAGTCTTTTTTAAATGTATTTTCATCCCCTGAGTATTCCTCAGACATATGCTCATGCTCATAGCTTTCTTTACACTCATTCTCAACTTCATATTCTTCTTCTTCAGTCTCTTCTATATCATAGCTTTTTGAATTGGTTCCTGTTGAACTGATACTACACTTATCTGCTTTACTAATATACGAAATTCCACCAAGACTCGACTCAAAACTGCTATCATTACATATAGGCACCAAGTCTGGACAATCGTCATCGATGTTCATTTCGACTGATGTTACAGAAATATTATTATTCATTAAAGTTTCTGTTTTTACATTTTGTATATTCAACTTTTTTAATTCATTTATATGACATGATTTGGGCTGAATAATACTTTTTACATTAACAGCCTCCGTAAGCTCTACAATTTGTATTTCGTCCGCCTCCCCAAATTGGACTTCATCTTCTTTTAAAACTCGACTAATTGCCATACCTGAAATTAATTTTAAAAGTATAAATCAGATTTTTTAAAATTAACTAAAGCAAAAATACCTTTCTTAATTATTTGTATATCATCCGGAGGTTGATAATCAGGATCATTTAAACTATCTTCATCGAGAAATGTTAAACTGTCACTACTTGAATGTGTGCAGTACTCTGAGCTTTCACTGTTAAAGGACAAATCACTGATGTCGTCGTCACTTGTATAAAAAGAACTAATGTTGGAGTCGGAATCAGTGTGTAGTACTGAGCTTGCATCGTCTTCGGTGCTATTAGGCACCCAACTACTTGAACTGTCAAACTCGCTGTCATCAGTACTAGGTGGTAATAATGAAACCTCAGTGCACTTTGGTTTTTTGATTTCCTCTAGATTAGGACTATAGGATTTTGTTCGTTTTCTTTTACGATTTTTGACAGGTTTTCTAGCGAATTTGCCTTCCAACAATATTGCATTTTCTTTATGAAGCTTTCTTTTCTTAAGCTTCCGTTTTTTGCTGACAGTATTTGGCACAGCATCTCCTGCATTTTGTTTCTTTTTAGAATGATCTTTAGTTAAATCAGAATCGGCTTTCAATTTAGACTCCTCCAAAACTCTATCACTTTTTTTGGAAATTTTTTTACGCTTTACGTTTATTTTATTCTTTTTTAATTTACTAGTAGAAATTGGACCTTTTGGATTACTTATGGGCGCATCAGATTTGGGGTTCACAGAATTCTCTTTCAAATTAAATGTTAAATCTTTTTTTGTTGTTTTTTTTAATTTCTCCCAATAATTTTTATTCAATAAAGTATTCTCTTTTACCTTTGGAAGTGGAACTTTGTTTTGATTTTTGCCGTTTGAAATTTTTTTTCCATCAAGGATTGTACTTTCCACTTTTTCTTTTGAGTTTAGATTGTTACTTAACTTTGCGGTACTGTTTTTGTTGGTCAACAAATTCTTTAATTTGCTTTTGCTATTGTTTTCATTTAATAAGTTTTCACTAGTTAACTTACAAGTTTCTTGGCTGTTATTTTCTAAATTTTCTAAATTTTTTAACTTCACGTTTTTTTGTTGTTGTTTTGGCTTTGTCACGTTGTCGACATTCGAGTTCTTTTTTTTACTACCTTGACTGCTCTGATTTTTGTCATGTTTTGCAAATAATTTTTTTAAACCTTTTCGTAAATAACTATTATCTTTTTCTGGATTTTCTACCATATTACCGGTTAATTTTGAAGACAATGTGAAATTTAATAATATGCCAAACACATTTAAATTGAAAAGAATATGTTAGTACTGATAATATGTCATTACTCTAATTTAACAGGGTTACCAGATCTCTTTTCTATTAACTATTAATGATTTTTGTCATATTTTGCAAATAATTTTTTTAAACCTTTTCGTAAATAACTACTATCTTTTTCTGGATTTTCTATCATATTTCCGGTTAATTTTGAAGACAATTTGAAATTTAATAATATGCCAAACACATGTAAATTGAAAAGAATATGTTAGTACTGATAAAATGTCATTACTCTAATTTAACAGGGTTACCAGATCTATTTTCTATACTATTAATGTCGTTGTTTTATTAGCAAATCGGAATTTGCACTTGATCTGTAATTTTTTGCTCGAGTTTTATGACCAAACGAACATGTTAATAAAATTTGACTGCTACGTATATGTTGAGAACTCCGATATCGAATTGATGGAAATGGTTAAAAATAACGTATATACCTTTTTTTGAAAACGTGTGTTGATAAGAATTAATAATTATTTTTGATAATTTTTTATTAATTTTTAGCTTGCATTTTTGTATTATAGTATTTGAATTTCACTTTTAATTTGCATGTAAACATAATCCTTTATGTACATAAAATGTCAAAAACATTTCAATTGTCAAATAACATTAAAGAGTTGTTGATTTCAGGACAAAATTATTAATAGGCCTTTTCTTTTGTAAGCATACATAAAAAATATGATGAAACAACAACACTGCTAGTTTATATAGTCCAACTTTTTTGAAATCACTTAACCAATCAGCAGCTCAAATCGTATGGTAGTGAAGATTGAAAATTCGTCTATTGTGAACGATTCTTGGAAGTACATACGAAATTTTCAATTAACTGTCAACGAATGATTTCGTTAATTTTTCGTATTTCGTGTCGTCATTGTTCGTAACAAATACGTTATTTTTTCTATATATTATTTTACTTTTAAAAGGCATGAAAATTTATATTTTATTCACAATCATGTAAAAAAAATATTCTTACCAATAATTGCAAAGAATTATATTTCATTTTCGAAATTTTAACTTTAAATTTTATTACGTGTTTTGCATATATAACATAAGCTTAACAAAATTTCCATTTTGTTCAGAGTTGCCATCGAAAGTAGTGCTTATTTTATTTGTTCTTTTGCGACATGCTTATAAAGGAAAAGGCCTATAATTGATTTTAATTATAAGTATTAAATTATAATTTATAATTTACTTTATTTTATTTACCAATTTTTTTACTTTTGTTTAGAATTGTTTTTGAATTGACTCCATACCTATCTCTATAGAGTTAATTAAACTGAAACCTGTGATTGCACTTTTAAAAGTTTGCGGGAAATGCTACCTAAGAATATTTTTAAATTTAGGACGTGTGCGAGTTAGGCTAAGTTAATGCTAAACCAAATGGGAGATTTTTTGGGATTTTTTACACTGCACACATTTGGCTATTTATCAACACGTATCGACACATCACTACATTATCGGCACAACTTAGAATTTCCCTCATTTAGGTCGTGTGCGAGTTAGGCTAAGTTGATGCTAAACCAAATGGGAGATTTTTTGAGATTTTTTGCACTGCACACATTTTGCCATTTATCAACACGTATCGACACATCAATACATTATCGACACAACTTAGAATTTCCCTCATTTAGAACGCAACTTAGCCTAACTCGCACACGACCTTAGAACGCAACTTAGCCTAACTCGCACACGACCTTAAATACGTTTTTAATGCTACAAATAAAAATTTATATGCAATAATATAAGCGTACTATTGATTTAATTATAAATGGCTTTGACTTTGATATTAATTGTAATAATCGCATTGGCAGTTTATTCATTAGATATATTAATTAAAATTCAATGAGTAAATTAAAGCATGATTTTTTTATATATAAAATTTATATGAAATTTTCTAATTTACTAATACAAATAAAAATATGTATACTAAAATCAGTAATGTTTTAGTTGTTATTGATATATATAAAAACTATATTATTATTGATATATATAAAAAGTATTTTAATTAAATAAAAAATTATATTTTGTTTGTTAAAATATCAGTTCTTTTTTATCATGTTGCACATTTATATATATATATCTTGCTTTCAATATAAATTTACTGCAGAAGTTAGCATCTGCTAATATGTGTGGAAACAATAGGCGTATTCGGTGGCTCGCAAGTACGGCAAAAAACAGCAAGTTGTTGGCCTATGCAGGCCTATACTGGCCGCAATGTATGCAAAACAACAACACTATTTTCTCTACCTCGGCCAGCATAGTTATGCTGGCCAATCACATCGGCCAGTAAAAAAAAAATGTTACCAACGCAATAAGCGAACTATTGTGAACCTTCATTGAAAATTCCAACGAATAGTATAATCAAATGTCAAAAATTGAGGAAATAAAAATTCAAACAGAATTCAAAAATTTGAAAAATCTTGAAAAGTAACGAAGAAATAATAAGAATGGAGAAATCGTAAGTATTAAGCACATTGAATTTTTTATTATGTTAGTTATTACCAAGTAACATTTATTTTATATCATTTAATTTGTCGACAGTACCTACAAAAATTTACTTATCTTAGTGTTTTATTTTTAAATTTCCAATATTCTTACCATTCCTTTTGATTCCGTGTTCATTTTAATTTTATAATATTTTTATAAAAATATATTTGATTTATATGCACATATACAAGATTTGCTGTTTGTCAAAACAAAACATATGACAGATTGCAACAGTGATGCCAATGACTCGCGTGGCCAACATAGGCCAACATGCATTTTTTGCCGTACTTGCGAGCCACCGAAAAGGCCTAATATAACCTTTTTAATGGGAAGCATCGAAAGCAAAAACGTGCGACTTAAATTCACTAAAACGCACCTTTAGGGAATCCAGTTCATGTAAGTTAAAATTGTGTATAAGCGAGAAAAGGAAGAAAGAATGAAGTTAAAGTAGCTTAAAAATGATATGCTATGCTTTTGAGATTAGAATTTTTCTGCATTATATGAGGATAATAACCTGCGACATCTATTGCGTTATTTTTCAGCTGTTGTGTATTGAACATACTTCACATTATATTTGAGTGTTTATGAAACATATCAACCGGAGCGAATTTGCCGCCATTGGTTGCTTCGTTAAAACTTCGTTCAACGTCGGTCATAATCGTCACTTATTTTAAAGGCGTTGTTCATTTTTAGAAGACTTGCATGAGAAGGAAAAATTCGTGACACAATAATTTTTTTAAATTTTTTGATTATAATTTTTATACGAGTTAAATACGGCAGTTGTACATATTAGCAAACTTCTCGTGCCATTATATTAGCAGGATAAAAAATATTTGCGCATTTGCAATTAATATTAAATTTTGTAAGTGATAAAAATTGTCTGTGAAAATAGTGAAAAAAAATTCCACACACGAATGAATAATGGAGGATACATTTGTAGTTCAGATCGAATGATGAATTTGTTTTTATTGTTAATAAATTATTGGTGAATTGAAATAAAATAATAGTAATAAATAAAACACTATTATTAATTAATTTAATTTGTGTTTAATAAAAATAGTGTAATAAAAAAATTTATACATTTTGAAAACAAATGAAAAAAGAAATGAAATAAGTTGACAATGCAGTAGCGATGATGGCAGCGACACAGCAGACAAACATATATATTTACTCAATCGTCTTGTGAAATTTTGTTTAAATATATTTAATCGTTGTTGAAAAATCATATTGTGTCTCCTCACGTATTGTGTGTGGAATGTTTTTTTTTTTTTTGTTTTAATAATATAAATTGTGAATAAAAAAAAGTTTGTTGTAAAGTTGATTCTGTGTATAATGAAATTTATTTTTTAGAATCAATGACGACGATTCGCAAAAAATTGGTGATCGTTGGCGATGGTGCCTGCGGTAAAACATGTTTATTAATTGTCTTCAGTAAGGATCAATTTCCTGAAGTATATGTGCCTACGGTATTTGAAAATTATGTCGCAGACATAGAAGTTGATGGCAAGCAGGTAAGAAGTGTTAAATTTTTTAAAGTGAAAATTGTTTTCTAAAAGTAATTAGTTTATTTCTAATGAGCATTATATTTCTAAAATTTTCTAAAGATTTCCCTTAAAGCTCATCGCAGTTTTTTTTTTTTCTTTCTTTTTTTGTCGATTTGCTTTGCTTCGTCATTTGTCTGATGTTTGCTACTTTTTATTTTCTCTTCTTATTCGCTGCGTTTTTTCGGCTTAAATGCGGCGAATTAATTGATTTATGTGTTGAGCAAACATAGATTAATAATTTTTTAGTGACGACAATAAGAACTGGACTAGCCAGTCTGAGATCACTAACAGCAATAGGAAAATACAAAAAAAAAGAAAAAAATTAATTTATATTATAAAATATTATTTCTTTTTAAATTAAATTATTTTGTAAAAATAAAAATAAAAAAAATTTTTAATTGAAGTCTGAAATGATTTTGTGCATTTAGTATCTTTCCTTCATATTTCTTTGGTATATTTTATCACTTCACCCTGCCCGGATATTCGACATGTTCATATGTATTGCGTCGTGTGACTCACGCCCGTCGCAAGCCCAGTACTCTTCATATGTTCACATGTAGAAGAACGCAAATCTTGTTGCGCATTTCTTTAACATTTTGCTTAAGTCATCACGGTTTTTTCTTTTTTTTTTTTTAATTACCATTAGAAGTTCACCCTCCTACCTTTCCGTAGGACTCAAAGAATTTTCAAAAAATAATAAAAAAAAAAAAACCAACTTCATTTGTAAATATAATAAACTACAGACTAGCATTCTACCTCCTCTTCACGTATGTTTGTATGTTTGTACGTTTGTGTGTAGACAGATTTTCTGTTTATTTAATATATCTTGTTTTCTTAAGAGCTTTTTTTTTTGTTTCATTTATTTATTTTTTTATTTTACTCGTCAGTTTTCGTTCATGTTTTATTCTTTTGTGGTTTACATAATTTTTAGTTGGCGTTCGTTTTTCCAAAGAATTTCACATTTGCAATTATTTCCACAACTTCTTATTGTATCTTTTTCATTTCACATTTCAGTTTAATTGAGATAAGAATTCTCTGTTGTACTTGAATTATTTGCTTCATTTATTTCGAATCTTGCTTACAATCGCTTCGATGATTAACTCTAAAGGAATTCCGTTTTCAATAAGGTGTCTCATTCAATTATCAATATATATATATATATATACATATACTATATAAAGTACAATATTGTTGAAATTATAATAAAATATGTTTATTGAAACATGTTTTTTTTTATTTTTTATAATAAAACAGAATTTTTTCTCCAGAAGCTTTGATAAGAAACAATGCTTTTAGAGTTTAGTATAATTTATGTCCATTAAAATGACTTTGATTCAGACGTTCATCCATTTACCTACATACCATATTTATAAAATAGTTTATATATGTTAAAATTTATGTTTATGTATTTTATATTTATACATATATACATTATATATATTATATACATTATATATATTATATACATTATATATATTATATACATTATATATATTATATACATTATATATATTATATAAATTATATACATTATATATATTATATACATTATATATATTATATACATTATATATATTATATACATTATATACATTATATATATTATATATATACATTATATATATATAACATATATATATTATATACATTATATACATTAATATTTATATATATAGATTGGATTGGGAGGGCATAGATATAAAGGACGCATATATAAATATATATAGGTTTGATTGAGAGGGCGCAGATATATATAGGTTAGATTGAGAGTTTGCAGATATATCTATCGGTTAGGTTGATAGGACACATATATAAATATATATAGGTTAGATTGAGAGGGCGCAGATATATATACCTTAGATTGAGAGGTTGCAGATATATATATCGCTTATGTTGACTGCGCATATGTATATATCGTCAAACTTCCATAACTCGAACTTCTATAATTCGAATTTTCTATAACTCGAACTAAAAAGAGTCCAACAGTGTTTTAGAGAGCAAATTACATACAATTCTGCTTCCATAACTCAAATAAAAATACTGTCACGTGCCAATAGGAATGTGGAAAAGTGCATTCTATTAGTCGAACTTTTGTTTTAATTATGAATCCATTTTGGTATTAGAGGAAGTCCCTTTTTTCAAAATAACTTCCAATGCTTCTCTTAACGATTTTATTGAGCTTGACAATGGAATTTGTACATCAAGCTTTCCTACAGATGACGATATTATTGAGCATTATAGCTTCGTATATATCTCATTATAGTGGATCCAATTCTAAGCGCAACGGATAGTAATGATGAGGGTTCGACGGATGTAAGTGTTCATCAGCCTTCCAAGAATGAAGTAGAAGACTCATTCAAATTTTTATTTGCAAAAGAATAATACTACAACTTATGATCACTAAAAGTGTTTGAATAAATTGAAATCACTTTTTACTGAAAATAAGAAAAAAAAAAATTTAAATCCCTATAAATCACTATAACTTCTATTTAAATGTAATTCTAGTTTCTTTCAAATATAAAAAAATTCTCTAACTCGAAGACTCCATAAGTCAAACATTTTTTTTGCAAAATGGTACTTCGAGTTATGGAAGTTGGACTGTATACAGATTGGATTGAAAGGTCGCATATATAGGTGGATTGGGAGCGCGGATATATATATATAGGTTGGAATGAAACCCCGCAGATATATATACATAAATTGAATTAAGAATAAATTGAATTCTATGGAACAAGAGGAAGTCAACAAGTTTTCAATATGGACACGTATGTCATACTTATTTCTTATTTGTATTATCACATGCTCCTTTTAAGTCAGAGATATTGGAAGATGTTGCAATGGGACCTTGAAAATTGTCCCTGTATTTTATTTTCAATAAATATAAGGTCTTCAACTTCAACATGTTTGTTTTTATATTTAATTTTTTCTGTTTATTAGTATAGAAATTCTCTAAAATACGAAATGTTTATAAACTTGTTAATGAATTTAAAATTTCATTATAATTTGCCGTATTATTGCTTATTGCTATACATTTTCTGGTATATCTTCCAATAAATGTTTTTTGGGTTCCCTCTTTTTTTCCATAACAAAATGTAAATAATTAAATAAAATAAAAAATCAAGTCAATGATATTATTAATTTATGATTACATGTTTATGAAATAAAATCACATATTTCTATTAAACAGTGAATAAACTTATTGTTTCAACAAAGAGACATTAATTGATTCCATAATTCATTAAAAGATTTTCCACTTTCTCTAGTAATTGTTTTACCCTATCCAGATTTGCGTGCACCTCAATATATCATTAATCGGTTTGCTAAATGCACGTATTAGTCATCCGTATTTCTGTTTCATAAGGTTGTTTAAAATAGAATGTTGCTTTGTTGTGATCTATTGGCTCCCATTGATTGTATGCTAAACGATTTGTGGAATTCACCGAAGACTTCTATTAAAAAAGGTTTTATGTTTATGTAAGACGGCACTTTTTAAAAAACAGATCTTATATTTATATAAGAGACCTGAGTTTAATAAACTTGATGATGTGATCAATTTGATTTGTGAGTAATTCAAGCATGCAACTCGAAGAGAGAATGATTTTCAATCAATTCGAAAGCCGTTGAAATAATAATTTTGAAGGAATGTATTGATAAGCAAAGAAACATATCAAAAGTCAAGTGGTTTTAAAGCTGAGTAATTTAGTCTGGGTCTGTGATAGGTACTGACATTAGAACAGTAACAACAACAACAACAAAGCAAACAAGACCTTTGGTCTCTGTAACTCTGAAATATATTTTCCAAACGTATGGTTTCTATAAAACATTCTTTTAATAAAAACGTAAAAAAAATATAAAAGAAAAATGTGTTTTCCAGTCTCTAGATTGCAGTTGTGATCTTTATTTATTATGTATTATTGTCAATATTTTCAAGAAATTGTCTTAAATGAAGCAAAAATAATCTTTTTTTAATTTATTTATGAAAAATTTTGGAACAATAAACAGTTTCTATAACCAAAAAACATATTATTTCCAACGAACAAATAATTTTTGTATTATTTAATAGTTTATTTACAACTTAAGGACAGTAGAATGGATAGATAATAGGTGACTGTGAGTGGAAGTGCTGATATTTGTATGAATGAGTCTCTTCTCAACCTCAACTAAACTAATCTAATTAGATTTTAATTTTATTTCTAAATGATAGATCTCAAACATTCTATTATGTATGTGTAATATATATGTAAAACCTCTAAACCTTGTTAGTGTTATTACCATTCTGTTGTTCTCAACCACCCCCAAAGGGACTTCACAAGTGGTTATTACAAAAATCTTGTGGTGGCTGTGTAGTCTTTTAAAATAAAAGTAAATTGTTTATAAAAAAGTTATTATATATAAATTATATTTTATCATTTATCTAAAAAGTGCGATTTTTAAAAACACTATCCTTTTTTCTTACAGGTTGAACTGGCATTATGGGATACTGCTGGCCAAGAAGATTACGACAGACTCCGACCACTGAGTTATCCGGATACAGATGTCATCCTTATGTGTTTCTCAGTGGATTCACCCGATTCTTTAGAAAATATTCCTGAAAAATGGACCCCTGAGGTAACAACATTATCACTAATTATTAATTAAAAAGAAATATTAAATGTATTTTTTTATTCATTTTAGGTCAAACATTTTTGTCCAAATGTTCCAATCATTTTGGTAGGAAACAAAAAGGATTTACGAAATGATCCTAATACGATTAGAGTAAGTAATCAATTAAACTCTCAGTTCACACACTACACAAGTTAATGTTTATTTATTGCTCAACACTGAAGTTGTTACTGTTGTACATACGTTTATTGTTTTCGAACTCCTACGAAAACGACAAGAAAATGTCTCTTACTACTTTCTCTTTCGTCTCTTAAATTTCTAATTGAACCTGCTGTGAGAGTCCTCATTTTAGACTGCTTACTGAAAGAGTCCACACTTTAGTCTCTTTACTGAAGGAGTCTACACTTAAGACTCCCTACTAACGGAGTCCACACTTAAGACTCCCTACTAACGGAGTCCACACTTAAGACTCCTTACTGAAGGAGTCTACACTTAAGACTCCCTACTAACGGAGTCCCTACCACACTTTAAATTTCTTACTAAAGGAGTATAAATTCTTGACTTTTGATTGATGTCAAACTGCTTAATCTGTTGCTGCTGTACATGTGTTTGTTGTTTTCAAACTCTTCTTAACACCTTCTGGCTAGAAAATTGTCCTTATATTTTTACTTAAAAATTTATAGTCTTCTGGAATTATTACACAAATTGCTTTAATCGCCTCTCGCTTTTTTTGAATGGTTTGTTCAAATTTCTAATAACACACGGAATGTGAATCCACACTTTAGGCTATTGCAATAAATAACCTTAAGTTTGTAGTTTATATAATAATAATAATAATAAACTTATGCATATTATTTTTTGTTTTTTTAGGATCTTGCAAAAATGAAACAAGAGCCAGTCAAACCTCAAGAAGGTCGTGCTATGGCAGAAAAAATTAACGCGTTCGCATATTTGGAATGTTCGGCTAAATCCAAAGAGGGCGTTCGAGACGTTTTTGAAACAGCTACTAGAGCTGCATTGCAAGTCAAAAAGAGGAAGAAGACCAAATGCCTTTTGCTCTAAAAGAGCAAAATTAGAACACACCAGATATATACAACACAAATCGTTAAATTTTTACTTTAATTACTTTTTCAAAGTTGAGTATCTATTTTAAAGCGTATTTGATTATTCAATGATTCATTTTAATTTTATTAAAAACAAAAATTAATTACACAAATTAAAAAATTTTTACCATAAAGTATATATGTACCACATATTTGAATTGTTCAAAATGAATATGGCGAAAAGAAAGAACTTCAAAGCAAAGTGTAAAAATAAAATATCCTTGGAAACTATATCCAAATAAAATATATGAATAAAAACAGTAAATAATCTAAATATAATTTTCAATATCGAACACAAAATGAAAATCCAAATCCTTAAAAAACAAAACAAAAACAACAACACAAGAAAAAAAAAATAAAAATAAAAATCACACACAAAACAAAATTAGACAAAAATTAATATTTTCTAATTGCTTTTTCTAATTAACGGTAACGGAACTGTAAAAATTGTTTGTTTATGTATTTTTGTTATAATTTAATTTTTAATTGATAACTTTTTCAATAAAGCAGTAAGCCGCCAATGAAATTTAAATAAAAAATGTTTAACTCATAAAAACCATATAATAAATTAAATAACAAAAATAATATTTTTTATATACTAAAAGAGTGAAATACAAATTTATCTCTTTTGAAACAATAAGTGAAAGTGAAAAACACAAAAAATCTATTGCGATTTTATTGTATTTTTTATATTTGTCTTAATTTTTTTGTAATATTTGAATATTTGATTTTTTTGTATGAATAAAAAATATGAAAAGAAAAACAAAAAACAAAAACAAAAAAATACAAATTTAATAATTTTTGCTACTTTAAATTTTATTATATTATAAACAAAATAATAATATGTAATATGTATTTACGCTACTATACAACAATTTACAGTTACTACAATTTACAATGTTTACTATTTTTGAAATTGTATTTATATTTTTTCTAAAAGCAGTAAAAATATTGAATTATTTTAAGCAATTTGTGTTCAAAAGTCCAATGTTTCCAATCCAAATTTATTATTTTTTGCTTAACACAAAAGTCGTATCTGTTGTTTCTATTCTAAATTTGATTTTAAATTTTAGTTCATAAACATTATTCGATATGTTTCTCCTAAATTAATGAGTTTTGAATTATTTAAATTAAATTATGATTTCGTGTAATAAGGTTGGTGTTCGTTTTTTAATTTAATTTTTACGTGTCTGTTATGCTTTTCGCATAATAATCTTATAATAAATATTTTACTAATACATACCTATTATATAAAATAAATATAAATAAAAAATCAAAAAACTTAACTTGAATGTTTTTCATTTTTTATTTGACAAAAAAAATAAAACTCCAATAAAACAATCTATTAAGGATAATAATATAGTAATTATATTATTTCGATATAAGAGTTAAGTATCACTGATGTTATTTTAAACCGCGGAGATCTTTTTTTTTCGCGCTAGATGGAAAGCATCGAAAGCCACAGAGTTTGAGACTTAGGAATGATTATCAAAGTCTCTTTGTGAAGTCCCTTTGGAGGGTGTTTAGTTTAGTTTCTATTAAGATTTTCTATTAAGGACGTGTGCGAGTTAGGCTAAGTTGTTGCTAAACCAAATGGGAGATTATTTGGGATTTTTTGCACTGCACACGTTTAGCCATTTATCAACACGTATCGACACATCACTACATTATCGGCACAACTTAGAATTTCCCTCATTTAGAACGCAACTTAGCCTAACTCGCACACGACCTAAATCTCTTATAGTCTATTGACGATCTACTTAGACCATAACCTGAATTTGTGTGATCATATCGAATTAATGCCGCTTCTCTCAAAGGCCTGTGTGAGCACCTTTAACTAAATAAAATAAAATAATAAATAATATATAATATCGTAGCTAGCGACGAGTGGCTCCGGGACGTAGGTCTGACCGTTCTTGGAACACACCTCATTGAAGTGACCAGGTTTTTCCGCTAACGTTCAATTACACCCCATTCACTTAAACCTTCTCATTTTATTTTTTCTCTCCATCTCACTCCAGCCACTACCTACTCACATCCCTACCCATGTGATTGTCTTGTTTATTCTTTCATGTTATCTACTCAGCGGGTTACAACAACAACACCAACAATAATTATTGAAAATTGCAGCCACGTTCAGCGGATGTAACTCCATTCTAGTAATAAAGGGAAGAGAGGAGAGCAGATAAGTTTTATATCTAGCGAGCTAGATTTATGTAAGGCAGAAAGCATGGACTAGGTTTTATGTGGTGAGGTATTTATGTGAACCGCGGAGATCTATCAAGTAAATAAGAAGAAAGTAAGAACAAAAACGTGATAGTAGTGATAGTAGTGTGACGAGAAAATTGTTAAGGAGTAGGAATGGATTTGGGGATGGGTAGAATTTGAATTAAAATCAACCTGGATAAAGACGGAGGATCTAGTCACTTTAATGAGGCGGATTTAAAGATCGATTGGAATCAAATTATAATGTATATTGGGAAGTAGCATTGATACATCTATTCTTTACGGTAAGTATATTTCATTATGGATAAAATTTAGACAAGATTTAAGTGTAATTAATAGATCAATCCTGTATAAGATATATATTTCACCATGAATATAGTTTAGATAAAAGAGTCGTGTCATTAACAGAGCTATTCCGTGTTAGACATAAATTTCACCATGAATATATTTTAGATAAAAGAGTTAGATGGTATCAATTTTGAGGGCATCACAATGGGCAATATATGCCTCCGAGTGGAAGTGCTGACAACGGTTAGCACGCGCCTTCCGAACCTAACCTAGATGGTATCAATTAAACTGTACTGTGACGGAAAAAATATCAACATGGATACAATATTTGCCAAAAATTTCTTGAATCATTTTTATCACGTACAAAGCAGCATAGATTCTATTATTGGGAGAGACCGTTGAACAATCACTAATTATATACTAAAAAATAGCTGAAATAACTGTATTTTGTTGTATTATCATCATTTTCTGTTAATATCCTCTATAACAATCTAAATTATTTATAGAATTTGATTTTTAAAGTCACTTATGATGAAAGAAACAATTTTTTTTTATAGCACCTATTGCCTTAATAGAGCGGCTTATTGAACAGTAGTAAATTACAACAAAATTTTATTATTTTTTAATTAGTTGAATTTTTGACTGACTATTTGAAATTATTTGAGTTAATCTAATTTAGTTTATTCAGTAGCATTTTTTAAGTATGTTGGATGTTAAAGATTTTAAGAGATAGAAGTGATCCATTTACTATATCTGATATTAATTTTTAAGCAGTATTTTGGACTTTCCGAGAGACTTTGTCACAATTTATTGTTTGTTTTCTAAGTACATTGTGATTTATCACATCTTGTTTATCGCGCTCCATTCAATATGTATGTAACTGACCTAATACTAATTATAGTGGTACATAGCTCGTCTTATAAATAACTGTGGTGAGTTTAAAATTGATGTGGTGAGCAAAAGTGTTTTCTTTTTGTTGCAAAATAATCGAAACAGAGTCATAGTTATAGAGAGCAAGTTGTGTCCAGCAAAAATTGTACTAATAAATGGAGTATATATCTTTTATAATTGATGTCTACAACCAAATCTGCAGTTGTGGATCATCCTCATAAAATCTAATATTCTTATTTCATTCGTATCCCATGATATTTATGGATCTTTTTTTACTTCTTTACTCAAAATAAAAAACAAAACTAAAATAATTAAAATAATGCACAGATTAGGTATTCTTTATAAATTAAAGCAAAATCCCCGTGTTATAATAGTTCTATATTTATAACCTTTCCTTTCAACGTAATCAGTGGTCAGTTAGTTTAGTTTTATTGTTTGTAAAATTAAGAATAAAATAAGCAAAAACACTATAAAGCATTAATAACGTTAGGTTGTGGGAGATAATTAAGTTAACGATATATTAAGTCCCTTGGGATTATAAGAAGTGCAGCTAGAGAAAACATATGATTTCACTGAAATAACAATAATCTCCATAGCCGTTGTAATTGAAGACTAGAAACTTATTGGGAGAAGTGGAGATATATAAATTCTAATTGGAAAATATCTTTTACTTTGCTAACAAAAATACTAAAGAATATAAGTATCTTGTATCATATTATTTGACCATATCATGATAAACATCTGTATATTTTATATGTTACATGGTTGTGTGAAAAAAAAAGTTTAAAATCATTTTAATGATCGAATTTTTGTGTGAAATAGCCATTAAGCTATGGATCAGGGCAAACCAACTGCCAAACAAAGATCAAGTTATGAGGGGTTTTGTCTGCTAATGAGTCAAGAACCTCGATATTAATCATTATTTCTGCTGATGTTTGGGTAGTAAAGGTGGATTATCTTACATTTCGGATCGAAACTTTATTGCGATATAAAAAGGCAACTCATATGTTTTAAATATAGCAACGCGTTTTGTTTAAATAAAGATCCATAAAGTGTTAATTAAAATTTAAATAAATATTTGGACAAAGTATAAATTATTGTAAATATGAAAAAATTCACACATAATGGTAATTACTTTACTATTTCTACGAAGTATATGGGTGTGTGTATATGCAAGTATATACGAGTATATTTTTGCATTTTCAACGCATGGTGTTGCATATATGAATCATTGTTATTTTTCCAAAAATCATACCGTATATACCTGAAATTTGTGAAAATGGCAGGAAGAAACTATTTTTGTAATGAAGTTCCCAATCTGAAAACATTTTTGTGTTTAATTATAAAGTCGTGCACTCTAGGGTTAATATATTTGCATGTACTTGTTGTTATCTTAGAGGAAATTATTCTAAAATAATCAAATCTATTAAAAGCTGTGTTAAGTCTTATAGCAGCATAGTGGGAAGCCCATCAGCTTAAGAAAAAAATGCTAGAATCATTAGTTATATTCAAAAATTTGATATAAATAGCTGTATGGTCGGCTAAAAATTCAATTAATTAAAATAATATAAAAATAAGTTTTGTTATTGTAATTCACTACTTTTCGAAATTTCTCCATTAAAAAATTTTAAAATATAGTATTGCTTTTTTTTACTCCATTAAAATAATTTTTAATATAAATCACCATACACCTAACCTAACCTAACTTATTTGAGTATAAAAACGTTCGCATCGTCTTAGATTTCACAATAAATATTGGCTTCCTCATGTTAGAGCTTTTTCTAACTCATGGAAATTGGCATCTGTTAGGTCTATAAGTATCCTTTTGTCTTCATAGTTCTGGTAACTTAGATCACTAGAAAGAGAAAATGAAATATACATATATCAATAAATTAAAAATTAAAAATAGTGAGAGGTATATACAGATAAGTAGATTCATGAGGTAGACCCGGCCAGTTCTGACCTATTAAGTATGTCCAGTGTAAGTTTTTCGGGTGAGTATTAACTTTCTGCATTCATTTAACTGCC